GACAGGAATTATTCATCAACTTTAACTGCCAAGTGATGCATATATGATAACGAACAGAAGGGGAAGAAAAGTGTGTTTCACACTTCCTGAAGAAGTTTGAGTGTTGTAGGTTACTAAAATCAGTTCTTTGTTTTTAGGATTTTTAAGTGCTTAAGCAACTACTTCCCCCAGCCCCAATACAGTCCCAGCACAAAGCTGAATTTGCCAGTCTATCCTTGGGCGAAGGCAGCAATCATCCTTAACTTTTCCCTCAGGTGTTCGCTCAAGTTGCAAGGTGCATGCCAATGGTTTTGGCTTACAAGACCGTAGTCTACGGTTGAAGAAATCCTTGTTCAACCCCCCATGCTTTTTGATCAAGATCTCACAAGACCCGATTTATTCCCTATGGAGGAGGCCAGCTAACAAGGCGGTCCCTGTTCCCAACCGGGGCAGAAAGCACAGCGGCCTGCCCCAATTGTGTTCACCACACAACCCTCCTAGCAGGTCTGAATAATAGAGAACAGAATTGAGAATTTATTCGGTGTTTTTTTTTTTTTTCTTCCCTTTCTTCTACCCTCCGTAGACACAGCATCACAAAACTCAAGGTCAGCTCAGCAGCTCCCACACAGGAAAGGAAACCAGAATTTATTCTTCAAGTCTAAAAGTCTCCTTTCTGTTCTTACTGAGCTCAGGCACAAACAGTCGTCACCGAAACCCTGTGGTCAATCCCAGCTCAGGTTGGAATCAAGATTGTGCATTTGGATTAATTTGGAACAGAATGTCCAATTGAACGGAGTCAAGTGAAAAGTGATTCCTGGAGGAAGAAAAAAAAAACACCGCCACGTGCCTTCCAGTGTCACCCTGAGCTTGCCGGCCAAGCAGCGCAGGTTGCAGCTTGCTGCTGGGTGGAGCAGTCCGCTGGGCTCCTGTTCACTCTGCTCCTGCCTTCCCAAATGAAAGCCGGAAGCTCACCATTTAGTGCTGAAAACTGGGCAAGGTCTTTACCTCCAGAGTGGCTTCATGGCCCTGCCAACTGACCCTGCCAGGGGAGACAACTTAGTGGCTGGATTTGATGTGTTCTTTTATAGCAGGAAAGGGCTACAGTGCTCTAAGTTGTAGGGGGAAGAAGAGATAGAATGGCAATTCCTGAAGGTGGCTCAGATGGCTGCCACCACACCATGACAATGGTGTGGGTTCTCAGCTATGGCACTGCATCCTAGGAGTGCGTAACCAACTGTCACCAGATGAGCTCATGGCTAAGGCAGGCTCTCTAACTGACTTTAAAAATTTTTTTAATTAATTTATTTTTATTGGAAAGGCAGATATACAGAGAGGAGGAGAGACAGAAAGGAAGATCTTCCGTCTGATGGTTCACTCCCAAACGGCTGCAACGGCTGGAGCTGAGCCAATCTGAAGCCAGGAGCCTCTTCCGGGTCTCCCACATGGGTACAGGGTCCCAAAGCTTTGGCCCATCCTCTACTGCATTCCCAGGCCACAGACAGGGGGCTGGATGGGAAGCGGGGCTGCCGGGATTAGAACCGGCATCCATATGGGATGCCAGAGGGTTCAAGGAGAGGACTTTAACCACTATGCTATTGCGCCGAGCCCCTCACGCTGGCTTTATATGAATAAGTTTGAGAAATAAAGAAAACACAGAAAGCTATCCAGCAACCCACCCAAGAACTCCTATGCATTATCGGGGTTGGGGAGGATCCAATGCCACACAGGACCTGGTGACTGTGAGACAAAGTAAGACAAAGTAAGAGCCCAAGGAAAAACTCTGACACTTTAAAGACTGGAGCCAAGAGGACCTCAAATGGGAAGGTGCCCTGGGTCTCCTCTGACATGTCCAAACAGCTTCAGTAGAAGGAATTTGTAGAACAAGTCCACATGGTCTAGCAAGTGAGCTTCTGGTCAACTGATCAACCCTGAATTTCTAAGGTTAATATTTTAGCCACTGACCAGGAAACCTGCAGTCTACCTTGTCAAGATGGTATGTGACAAAAGTGGTGGTGTACCAGCAGACTATACACATCAGAGAAAGTAACTTGTGCACTGGTTGCACGAAGTTGAGATCTATCTTCTTAACTACTGATAGGATTATTAAAATGTGTTAGCCGGGCAGCCATTAGGCCTAGAAGTTAAGACGCCTGTGCTCCACAGAGAACATTTGGACTTAATTCCCGACTCCAGCTCCTTGCTGAACGCAGGCCCTGGGAGGTAGGAGTGAGGACTCACTTGATCGGTCCCTGCCACCCTGTGGGAGATGTGGATTGTTCCTGGCCCTAGCTTCAGCCAAGCGCTGGCTGGTGCAGGCGTTTGAGGACTGATCTGCAGATGGGAATGCTCTCTCCCTGTCTCATCTTTCCTTCCCTCCTTCTCTCTTCTTCTCCCTCTCCCTCTCTCTGCTTGTTTCTTTTTGTCTCTGCCTCTCTCTTTCAAAAAAAAATTATCACAAATGAAATTATTAATTTGTTAGCTATACATTAACAAATTGACAGGATCAATTCCGCTTACAGAACATTTCCTTTTTAGGTAAGTAAGCAGCTGGATGAGCTTGCGTTTGAGTCTACTTTTGGCAAGCAAATAGGCCATGGCTTACAAAAAAATAGGCTATCCCTTACTGCTACAGCTGTTCTGCCCTGGGCTGGGATGAAGCATCCAAGGCAAGCCCCACTGAGAACAGAGATCCACCCAAGTCGTGTGCCTGGTGTTGGCCTCTATTCGCAGTGCTTACTGGCCACAGAGAGGTGCATACAAGGGCGCCCGCACAGAGCATCGAGGGGCTGCATCGCAGGAGCCTGGAGGACTGGAGTGAAGCTGAGCCCGTCACGGGTGAAGCGATTCTGCCCTTTCACTAAGATACAGCTGTGAGACTGCACCCAGGCTCGGGCCTCAGCTCTTTATTTATACATGAAACCAGACAGTGCATAAGCTCTAACAAGGGTATAAGCAATAAATACCTCGCTACTGACAAAGACCGGCTCGGCCCATCAACTTTCTGGATAGTCCCAGAGAAACTAGCATATGCAAAAACAGGTGGTCATGTGATTTCATAGCACCAAATAACAATACCTTGAGTACTCCACAAACATTTGGGGGAAATGAAATATTAGACTTAAAAGTGTTTATCAAATTACAAACTTTTCCTCCTTCCAGTATGGGGACATTTCAACCAATTTTTTGTCAACAAGTCTCTTTAAGAACATTTCACATGTCTCAGGAACAGAATTGATGTCAGACAACAAGACCTTTCCTGACATCAACACACACAGGAAAAAACTGCTGACTGCAGTAGATATATCTGCCTCCTTGGAATCAAAGATGGCTGACTGCTCTGAGCATAGTAGTGCTGGGGTGGGGGAACCTTCAACTAAATTTTCAACAGGGACTTGGCAAAAGAGGAGCGGCCATCTCTCGGAGTGGAGGGGCGGGGCAGAGGAGCTGCTGGCTCAGACCCAGCGCCCTGGTGCTGTGACACTGCAGGCAGCACTGGCCTTCCCCTTCCCTGCAGCATTGTTTGCAGTTTTCATCCACACTACTCTTACTCCTCCACTTCTGTGCCTCCTCTCTCCCTTCTCACTCACATTTCTACCAATGCTCCTCATTTCTGGTATTGAGGACTAGCCTTATTTTTTTGTTTGTTTTTAAATGATGCAAATTTCTGATCAGATGGGTCACACCTTGCCAAGGTTAGGACTTATCGGCAGTTTTCATTGCTACTCAATACTCGGGCTACTGCTTGTGACTTTGGGTTTTGTGGGTGTTTTGGAAGGCTGAGGATACAAGATACTGGGGATAATATGGTGAGCAGACTTCCTGTGGACTTCAGTAAGCTGAACATGAATGGCAGCAACGCAAGCACAATCATTCACACGCACACACACAGGAGGCAGCCTACAGACTACTTTCAGAGAGCCTTGCTCTTTGCTACTTGATATTCACAACTGAAATATCTGCAGCCCCCATCTGAGCTGGGATTTGCAAGAAATATTTAGAGCTTGCTCAGCATGGTGTCTTCAATCATATTCTATAAATGGGATGCTGGTAAATGAGCCATCAAGAAGGCCTGAAGAAACGCTGCTGCTGCCCTACGGATTGGATGATGGCAGCGTACAGAACGACAAGGAGGGAGCTGGGAATGGCAGACGGGTCTCTGTACGCAAGACAACAAGCAGTGCTACAGGACAGGGCACACACCAGGAACAGTGCCTGAGCACTGTCCAAGTGCCCCTGCTTGGATCCTGAGGCAGAAACCAATTGTAAGAGTTGTAAGTCTTGCTGCTAAAGAGGACACCCAAGAGCTCAGAATGCGACATGCCTCCTTGCACATCATGAGAGCTGGAGAAAGGGGAGGAGTGGGCTTTAAAAAACATACATTCTTTCAGGCCCATTGTGATGGCTCAGTAGCTAAATCCTCATCTTTCAAGTGCTGGGATCCTATATGGGGCCAGTTTGTGTCCCAGCTGCTCTGCTTCCCATCCAGCTCTCTGCTTGTAGCCCGAGAAAGAGATCGAGGATGGCCCAAAGCCTTGGGATCCTGCACCTGCATGGAAGACCAGAAAGAAGTTCCTGGCTTCGAATCAGCACAGCTCTGGCCACTATAGCCACTTGAGGAGTGAAAAGATAGAAGACTTTTCTGTCTCTCCTCCTCTCTGTAAATCTGTCTTTCCAATAAAAATAGATAAATCTTTAAATATATGTATATATGTATTTTTTTTCTTTCATTTAAAACACACAGCTCCAGATATGGAAGCGAGGCATGCTGGCAAGAACTAGGAGCACAGTAGACCACAGAGAATACTTATAAACTGCTGACTTTTCCATGGATTTCTATAAAGCATGACCTAAGGGGCCACCTTGCCAAAAGCTGCAAGGTGAACTCATTCCAATGACAAAGAAAAGTCCAATATATTCAAGAGGCAAGTAACGTGGTCAGCCAGTGGCTTGTGAGTGGGCCAATCCTGTGCCAGCCAGAGCCCCGTGAACCAGGCAGGTGCATGGGCCCCTCAGCTGCTTACCTCACTCCGGTCATCTTCATCAGTGGGCAGGAGCGTAGGCTGGGCTTCTTCTCTCAGCGGCTCAATCACTGTCACCTCTGCAAACTCCTCCACGGACTCCTGAAGCTCAGGCAAGGACCTGCGTCCATAGCGCTTGCCCCCTCGAACGTACTTGGGTTGCGCTTCTAGTGAGCACTCTGTACAAGGAGACAAGAGTTGAGGCCACATGCCATGCGGGTCTCAGCCAGAGCTGACACACACAGCTGGCGCACACAGCCTCTTATAGCAGCCTCAAAATAAACCGCCACCCCTGGCCACTTGGTGGGGGTGGGGTGGGGGGGCATGGGCAGATATGAGCCAGCACGTCACATGCAGAGCACAACTTCTGATCTGAGGTGATTTATAGTTCCCTGAGAGGGGATCCGCCTATAGTGGGAGATGTGCCACCACGGCAGTAAGTGATGGGACTGCTCAGGGTTAGGATCAGACAAAGGCAAGGAGCTGTACCAGTTCTTCTGTTAACGATGCTGGCATTTTGCAGAAAGGCAGGGGACGGGGGAGAGTCAGAGATCAAATGAACAGACAGAAACATCAGAGGAATCCTTGGCAAATGGTACTAAAAATGGCACCAAATCCACGGTGCAGTCAGTGTCTGCCCTCCATCCTTCACCAGGCCTTCCACTCCGATCTACCAGATAAACGGGCTGACTGAGCAAGGGACCTGATGTAGCAAACTGTAATCGGTGAGCAACATAAAATTAAGAGCCGGGCCGGAACACTACCAGGGTGAAACCACATGAATTAAAAATGGCGTGCTGTGATGTTTTCCTTCACGGGCTTTGGCGCTGTCCGAAAGAACAAGGAATGCGCATGTGGGAGAGCATCTCTTGACCTTCAAGAGGGACGTCAGCATTCTGACGATGTAACACATCTCAGGTTCAACATTCACCGCCACCTTCACCACCACTGCCACCAGCACCCCAGCTCCACAGTCACAGGCTAACCCTTCACTACAACCAACAGCTTTAAAGCAGTAGAATAAATACTTCACTCCATTCAAATGCCATTTTAGATACGAATTTGTTTTGTTTTAGCACCTTGCCCAATAACAAATTAAAACATTCCATTAAAATGCATAAACCACAGTGCTGTGCTGGCTGCTGCCTTATCCTCACAGACCATGTGCACTCTGTGGGAACATGGCAGAGGTGTCTACACTCAGACACACAGGTTTTGAGCTGAGTCCTGTGCACACCACAAAGTGATGGTGACCGATGAGACAAAAGCTTCAAGGAGAAGACTTGCCTTGAATCTCCACTGACGTCATGCTGGGGCTTTCCAGGGAGGATACGTGATCCTGCCTGACCAGCCCCCTCCCCCATGCCCTGCTCCTAGGACAAGCTCAGATTCCAAACATTCACAAATGTGGCCAGCAGCACTCTGAAAATGTTCAGCCGGGCTCAGAGGGAAGTATTTATGTAGGCACTCTCACTGCTCGCGATATTTATATCCAGCTTTTGAAAAAGCCACAACCAAGTCATTTGATGAGGTCAAGAGAGTCCCTGCCGGGAGACACTGAAGCATATACATTCTCTACTGAAATCCACATGCATGCAGGCGTGGTACCTCTTATCAGGAGTGAGTGTGTCAGCTTGCAGGTGCTCAGGAGCGGCCCAGCCCCCCACGCTCCTTGCTGGCAGCTGACACCCAATGATGCTGGCCAGGTAAGAGGCAAATAAAATCAGCCTTACTGGATCACATACTGGATTCTCAACAAGATACACCATTAGTGACTTCAGGGGCTTGGAGAGGACCACAAGGAAACAAACCTTCAGGAGATGGAGCCTGGGCATTCCCTCGCTAACACAGGCACTCTGGCTGCGGAATGGGCACGAGGGGAAAGGAGCAAGAGAAAGCGCTTCTCTCTCAGAAAAGCTGCCATGCCAGAAAAAGGTTCATTAATCCTCTGTGGGGAGGAGCGTGGACCAGTGCAGCTACTATGGAAATCAGTATCAAGAGTGCTCAGACAACTGAGAATTCATCTACCATATGACCCAGCTATCCCACTCCTGGGAATATATCCAAATGAAATGAAATCTGCGTGCAAGAGAGTAGAGTGACCTGCAGCCCTATAGGTATAGTGGCACAATTCACAACAGCAAAGATAAGGAAACAACCCCGATGCTGATCAACATATGAATGGATGAAAGAAATGTGGTATAGCACTTCAATGGAATACTACACAGCCAACAAAAAAGAATGGAATCCTATCACCTGCAACAAAATGGTCCCAACTAGAGACCATTATGGTTAGCTAAGTAAGCCAGTTTCCAAAGGGACAAATATATTTTCTCTCTGATATGACAGCCTCTATGCAAAGTACAAGATAGATATAGGTAATCAAGTATGCATGTATATTCTCATAGATGAACTGTGTAATGGAGACCAACAGATTGGGAAGCAAAGACAGGCTGCAGTGTATCTCTCTACTCCCAAAGAAGGGGAGGACTCACAAAGAAATTGGTAAATATATCTTCAGAGTATGATACTAGATTTTCTACCTTTGCCTATACCTACCATGCCATGACACATTTAAATAGAAGAAAGTTAAACTTGTAACTGGTACTAAGGGACTACACTACTATGATAACTTGGGGAGAAATGAAGGGAGGAGAAAATAGGGAGAGAAGGATGGGAGGAACTCCTATACCTACAAAACCATATCATGCGGGAAAAAAAAATCACAGTGATCTCAGCCCTGATGCGCCTGTCTGTGCACAACATGGCTTCCAAGGGGTTTTCTACTCACACCCCACAGGGCGTAGACACCAGTGTGCTTGGGAAGCAATGGGAGGTCATCTAGGACATGAACACTGTCAAGACTTGACTTATGTACTGACTTGCTGAATGTTGCTTTGTTGGGAATGTCAAGCATTTTAACTTAATTATCTGGTATTATTTTATCATAATGGATTTTGACCAAATTTTAACCTTCCACAGAACCTATGTATGAGAGGTCTTCAAAATTGATGAAGAGTGGATATTGGGAACAAACTGGGCATGGATTTCAAACATTTTCTGAACCAAAATAAAGTTATTTCTGTGAGAGAGAGAGAACCATCCATTGGTTTCACTTTCCAAATGCACACAATGTTCCCTGGCTGCTACCAAAGCTAGGAGCCAGGAGCTCAACCCGGTCTCCCATGTGGGCAGAACGGACCTCCCCACTTGGGCCCTCACCAGTGCTTTCCAAGGTCTGCGTTAGTAGAACCCTGAAGTTAGGAGCTGGAGTTGAAACAAGAACTCAAGGATTCCAGCAGGGGACTCAGGCATTCTCACCAGCAACTTAAAGGCTGGGTGAAATGCCTATCTTGATAAACTGATGCTTGAAATCAAATTTTCCACAAGTGTTTTAAACTACCTTCATGTTTGTCACTTTCTACAGAAAACTTTAAACTGCTCCATCAATAAAGCTATTAGCACACACAATGGAAAAATGGGTTATCCAGGCTTCCTCATCGAGTTTCCCAAACCATCAATAGGACCAACAAAGGATGCTGCTCACCACTCCACCTGAAATAGATGCCTCTTAGGATGACACCCCCCACCCACACACACAGTCTCTTATTTAGAGCTACAACCTTGTGGGTCTCGGGTGATGACAGAAGTGGCAGGGAGGTGTAGAGAGAACAGTCATGGGAGCAGCTACTGCCATGGAGGTTTAAAACACATGGAACTTCTCCTGATGGGGTTCACCCAGGGCATTAGCAGTCATGGTAACAGTGCACCAAGCAGAAGGGCATTGCCTTAAAGCACGGCTAACCCGGTGCCTGCTACTCCCAACGGCAGAGCTGCAAAGCTGCAGTTCTGGGCAAAGCTTAATGCTTAATGAAAGTGCCTAAGATGTGACATACTTTTTTTTTTTTTTTTTGGTTTCCTAACTTGGTTCTCTTTCCTGAACTATATCAGGGACCTTAACGCTTGGGCAATCTTCTACTACTTTCCCAGACACACTAGCTGGGAGCTGGGTCAGAAACAGAGCAGCCAGGACTCAAACTTAAACTTTCATATGGGATACCAACACTTCTAGGGATAGCTTAACCTTAACCCACAGTGCCTCAACACTGGCCCTAAAGATACCACATTCTTTACTTCTCATCTGTCTCAAGAAGAAAAACTGAAGAGCTGTGACAATATTCACCTAACAAATCAGGATGAACTGCTTACTGTGCACATGAATGACTTTGAACCAGAAGTGTTTCACTTACAAGCAAAGACTGAAAGACTCATCAAGGAGCATGAGAACCGTGAGTAGACGGAGAGGCAGGGGAAATGGCCCGTTCCCAGCCGTCTCGCTCCTCTCCCACTTCCCTGCCAGTAGCAGTGTGGACAGTGGACACACAGCTACCCTGTTGCTAGACCAAGCAGCACAGCATGTGTTTTATTCTAGAAATTGCTCACAGTCAGTATATGATGCAGATGGTCATGTGACACATTTAGTTCAATCAAACCCAACACATGGCCAGCAAAGCCTGGGCAATGAGGACCTACCGAAATCGAAATAGTTGTTCAATAGCTTCAACATCTTTATTCCATCAACTGCTTCCTTTGCAAAAATGCAAACACAGGATGTGGAGTGAAGAAATACCCCCAGCACACACAGGGGCAGTGTATTTTCAAGGATGCCTTCCAGAGCAAGGCAGATTTCACTTTTAAAAAAATGTATTGGGCCCAGCGCGGTGGCGCAGTGGTTAAGGTCCTCGCCTTGCACACCCAGGATCCCATATGGACGCCGGTTCTATCCCGGCAGCCCCGCTTCCCTTCCAGCTCCCTGCCTGTGGCCCAGGAAAGCAGTTGAGGACGGCCCAAAGCTTTGGGACCCTGCACCCGCTTCGGAGGCCCAGAAGAGGCTCCTGGCTTCGGATTGGCATAGCATCGGCCCGTTGCGCTCACTTGGGGAGTGAATCATCGGATAGAAGATCTTCCTCTCTGTCTCTCCTCTCTGTATATCCGCCTTTCCAATAAAAAAATAATAAAAATAAATCTTTTTTAAAAATGTATTTATTTTCGTTTTATTTTAAAGAGAGACAGATCTGCTACCCATTGGTTAACTCCCCACATGCCTACAACAGCTAGGGCTGGGCCAGGCTGAAGCCAGAAACTCCATCTGGGTATCCCAGGTGGGTGGCAAGGACCC